AGTCATCAAGTATTAAGATGGATTTCAAAATCCCCTCAAGAAGACATCCACCTCAATTTTCAAATGTATATACAACTTATATAATAAGCCTAATGAAAATAAAAATTAAATATGTACATCAATTTCACTCCCCCCTTCCACTCCCTTCCTCAATTTGGGTGGGGGGTGGGGGGGGAAATATACTACAGAAAAATGCCATGTCCTATCATTTGAATAAAATGTGCCTTCTTGTCTCTGCTGACCTCTAGTGGTGTCAAAGTAATGATTTAAAGGACCAAAGAGGGGGAATGTACGTGCTCTTTGTGGAAGGCATGACCTTTACAGTACCCCCAAATATGTTTTAGTTAGCAACGCAATTTAGACCACCTGAAGGAGAACTCATTGCTTGGTGACAGTGAAATACCATTTCCTTTCAAACAAAATGCAGCTATCGTTGCAAAAATAACCACCATATATATCGTTACCGCACTCTGCTTTGAAGCAACTTGAATAAGGCTCTCACTTTAAATTTGCAACTGAGGAATTGTCTAAATTGGAGCTGAGTTTGTGGTCAAACAGTAACAGATGCTATGGAAGGACAGTACTGGCTCGTATCATTAAGTGCTGTTCGGTTCCAGATCTCTGGAGTTAATACTGGACAAGGATATGGACCCAAGACAACAACCGCCAGTGCTGCCTGAGGATCCAGTTACCAAGAGATAACAAGGGCAGCCAGATGTGCTCTGTGCCAGGCACTATCTAGATGGCTTTACCAGTACCCTTGTTTTACAGATAAAGAATCAAATTCAGAAAGATTAAACTTGCCCACTCACCTCGCTGGTCAGATCCCAGGCCAAAGTCTCAGCTGTCTACACCTCCTGCCTCTCACTTACAGTACAAAAGAGAAAGCAAAGTCTGATATGGAGCTTGAAGGAAGCATGAGCCCAAGCCACCACATTGGAAGCACATATATAAGGGTCTTAAACATTAAGCAGGAAGAGATTGAAGGGGGAGGAGATGGAAAGGGCAACCCAGGACTTTGGCTCCTGCGTAGGGTGGCGAGATAAATACAGGATACATGCAACATCTGGGACCTACTTATACTAAAAACTATTTATTGCTTATCTGAAATGCTAATTTATTTATTTTTATTTTTTAATTTTTGCTAAATCTAGCAACCCTATTCTTGAGTGCCTTTTGTATCTGATTGGTTTGAGTTGGGAGGCAGGGCCTTGAAGTTTCCCATGAAAGTAAATGTTTGACAGAGTCCGTTGTACAGACAGCAAGTAGGAGATGGAAGGTATAGGAATCTCTTTCACAGCCCGCGTGGAAAGAGTTCCAATTCAGATTTTGGGTTCTGGAGAAGGGCCACACACAAATGAAGAGACTTGATACTTGAAGAAATTCAACTTGGCGATATGGGGGGCCAGGTGGTAGTCCAACTCTAGTGAGAGAACTACTCCTGCTCTGGCCCTGTCATCCCCTTTTATTGAGGCTTTGGGGAAAACATCTTAGGCAACATAAACAGAAATTTACATGTAGGCCTTCGGCAGGATATAACAGAAACTTACACGGGACAAACAAGGTGGAGGCTGCTTCAGCTAACAATGTCTCAACTAAAGGGTGAGTGGTTAGAGCAATTAAGGTTGTTGACCAGCCTTCCTGGCTTCCTGTCAACATCTCTTTTTTTAAAATATATTTTTATTGATTTTGTACAGAGAGGAAGGGAGAGAGATAGAGAGTCAGAAACATCGATGAGAGAGAGTCATCGATCAGCTGCCTCTTGCACACCCCCTACTGGGGATATACCCACAACCAAGGTACATGCCCTTGACCGGAATCGAACCCGGGACCCTTCAGTCCCCAAGCCGACGCTCTATCCATTGAGCCAAACCAGTTTCGGCTCAACATCTCTTTTTAGTGAAACTGATTTGTTTTCCAGCAGGAAGGAAATAGAACATTTTCACACATGGGGAGGATGGCTTTCAACGTGGAGAGTCACGCCTGAGTTTGCTTGGAAAAGCTGAGTAATAATACAAAGCCATGCTGAAAACTTCAACAGGCGCACAGATCACAGGGGATCTTGTTAGAACGCAGCTTCTGACTCAGTAGTTCTGGGGCAGGGCCTGTGGCCTTGCATTTCTAACACACTCCCAGCTGCTGTGCATGTGGCTGATTTGGGGCCACAGTGAGAGGGACTGGGAGGATCTCTCCTCATGGGGAGATGTGTCTCTGGGCATGCAATGGGATTCAATTAACTCCAGCATCTCTTCCAGTCTTCTTATTTGACACTTGACAAGACTTTTTATCACTAACCCCATGGGAGGGTGATGCCCCAGCATAAAGCAACAACTATCATCACCAATCATCGCCCTACCCCCAATTCAAAGGCCAAAACCAAAACCAAATATCTGGCTCCTAACTTTACTCAGGGCTCGTGATCAGTGGGAACAAATATCTCTGACCCTGTCTTCCCTTTTCTCCCTTTAGCCTGTGCCCAGAAACTCATGCAATCACGCGTTTGGAGTCTAAAGGGAGGATTCATGAGCCCCATCAAGTTAGGAGGGGTCATTATGAGGCCACTGCCCGGGTTTTAATTATTTGTGTACACACACACACACACACACACACAGGCTTTAACTTAAATGGGAGTGTTATAGTCTATAACATTATAGTCTAAAGAAAAAAAATGCTCACTAGCTGGAGTGCTCAAGTCCCAACATGGGAGGGTAAGCTGGTCAAGCTCTGCATCCCAGGGTCTCATGGCAGAGAGGCCCCAGGCCTCTAGGGCCCCGGCCTCCATCTCTGTGGATATGTTCAGCTCACTGGCTTCACTCACCCTCCTTTTTCTGTTCACATTCAAGGCTCCCTGGTGATGAGGGAGTGGAAGTGGGGCCTTGAAAGTTGCTGCATGCCATTGAGTCTCTGAGCCCACTTCCTTGGGCACCCATAGCTACACAGTCAGCCCAAAGAGAACCCCATAGGGAACCACAAACGGGGAAAGACTGTTGTGGATCGAACGTGAGTAAACTACCCCTGGAGTCCAGACCAAATTAAAATTTAGGGAGCCTTTTTAATAACCGGCCAGCTAACTGCTCTCTCCACACAGCCCCGAGAGCAGCCCCGATTTTTGTGTCCGACAGTATGTATGCCCATTCACTACCTCCTGTTTTTGCAGAGCAAACAATTTTAAAACAATTTAAACAAAGTAGTTTTTCTTAAGTAAAGTCAGCATGTCGTTTATATGGGGTCCTGGCGCCTGGTGGAGTAAGTAACTGCATCCCGTTATCAGGAAAGTTGACAGTGATCCATCTTGTAAGGCTGGCTAACATCCTGTTCTCAAGGAAACTGACAACGATCTATCCTGTAAGGCTATTTTGTTAGTTGCAGCTGGGATTTATGGCCCAGTTGACTAGGAGGAAGCATGCTCAAAAATTCCCACTCTCTAACAAAGACCTATAAGAAAGACACCGAGTCATACCTACAGGGATTGTGGGACAATGAACGTGGCCAGCTGTGCCTGAGTCAGGTGCCTCTGGGGTGTGTTTGGGAAGAGCATGCCAGCTTGGGGCCAGGCCTAGGGTTTGTGTAGGCCCCTAGGCAAAGAGTGAGAACCTAGGCAGTGGTTGTTTTCAGCAACAGCCTGAGGAATCAGGGGGATGATTTTATTGTTCACTGTATAAGCCTTCAAAAGTGTCTACCAAGACCACGTGATTGTAATAAAAAGAAATTGGCTTACAATTTTGAGTCATTAAAAATAATTTAGCCAGGCTAGCATGGCTCAGTGGTTGAGCATTATGAATGAGGAGGTCATGGTTCAATTCCATTTAGGGCACATGCCTGGGATGTGGGCTTGATCCCCAGTAGCAGGCGTGCAGGAGGCAGCCCATCAATGACTCTCATCATTGAGGTCTATCTTTTGCTCCCTCTCCCTTCCTCTCTAAAATCAATTTTTAAAATATATTAAAAATAAATAAATGAAATATAATAATAATTTCTTTTTCCACTTGGTTGCGGGCACATCCCCAGTGGGGGTTGTGCAGGAGGCAGCTGATCAATGTTTCTCTCTCATCGATGTTTCTAACTTTCTATCCCTCTCCCTTCCTCTCTGTAAAAAATCAATAAAATATATTTTTTAAAAAGAAAGTATGTCAAGCCAAGGAAATCTCTGGGCCAATGTGCATATTAAACAGTTATATCTTAATCTCAGTCTTACTTGGAATTGTTTCACCAAAACAAATCCAGTCTTAGCAGCTATGTTTGGTGGAATAGGTTTGTCTAATTGTCCAAGTTAGTTTGTTTGTTCTTATCAGGGTCTCAAAATGGTGTCCCCAGGACATTCTCTGTCCCCCACATATCCCCTTAGGACAGTGTTTCCCAAAGTGTGGTACGCGTACCCCCAGGGGTACGGGAAGAGTTTGGTGGGGGTACACGTTGCACTGGAGTTTGGTGGGGATATGCACTGCATCATGCTTAGCTGTGCCTAATTCTACGTTCTCATGAGTACAAGGGATACTCAGCGTTACGAAAATTATAGAAGAGGTACACACATGTCAAAAGTTTGGGAAACACTGCCTTAGGATTTACTGCATCATCCATCCTCTTCCTGACAATTTGTCACTTGCCACTTTTTTTCTATCCCAAGTATTCAGCATCGGATGGGAGCTGGAAAAATACAACCCCTTCCCCCGCCAAAGCTCTGCTCACCCTTTCCCCAGTGGTTCTGATCTGGATACAGACAACATGGACAGGGCCCCATGTAGGCCACTGCCCTAAATATATCAGCTTCCTTTTCATACATACTTTGATCTCAAAAAAGTTCTAAGAACCATCCACAATGGACAAGTTTAAGAATGCTCACATAACCAAATGGTTTCATGTTTCATTTAATTGACATTTGCTGTTGATGGCAGTACTGCTTTGCTCTTTTCAGACACTTTACACCTAGAATCTACAGTGAGCTCCGCACGTGCGATGCTGTGACTGCTAGCGGCTGTGCACCACAGCAAGGCCTACTGCCATTAGAACTGCAGAACACGCCTGACCAAGTCAACATAGTGGCTATCCGCAGGTGGCTTCCTCTGACTCCCAGGCTGCAGGAACTTCTTCATTGTAGGGATGTTGCTGATTCTTGCCTTAAATGCCTGGAATGAGAAACAGCAAAATCAGGACCTTAACAGTGGTCACAGCCCTTAAGAAAAATAAAAACTTTGTCATGAGTGGAGGTTACTTAGACCAGCGGCGAATGGAGCCCAGAATGTTGAATCTGAGTTAATCCCTCAATGCATGTTTTCTGATATTTCTGAAAAGGATAATACAGTGCTAAACAATGGCTGGTGTGTATAGCCCGAGTTAAATTATCTTAATTTTTAAAAATCACCGTCATAATTAGGCAGTGCATGTTAAAAACTCAAAAAATTCTTCAAGCTGCCAACTCCTGTTCTAGGAACTTATAAGAGAGTAAGTAAAGGTGCTAGCAAAGAAATAACCATAAGAATGTTACCACAGCCCAGCCAGGGTGGCTCAGTGGTTGAGTGTCAACCTATGAACCAAGAAATCACCAGTTCCATTCCCAGTCAGAGCACATGCCCAGATTGCGGGCTCAATCCCCAGAAGAGGGTATGTAGGAGGCAGCCAGTTGACGTTGCCTCCTACATACCCCCTTTCTTCTTTAAAAAAAAAAAAAAAAAATTTTGTTTTTTTACAGAGATCAGCTGCCTCTTGCACACCCCCCACTGGGGATGTGCCTGCAACCAAGGCACATGCCCTTGACTGGAATCAAACCTGGGACCCTTCAGTCCGCAGGCTGACACTCTATCCATTGAGCCAAACCGGTCTCCGCAAATGCTACTTTTTTTATATTCACCACATTTGGACTTCTTGTCTCCCATTTATGATTTATTTGTAATTTGTAAATGTCTCATTGAGGGACTTTGTGGGGACCCTGGAGTCAGGGAGACTATCAGGAAGCAGAGTTCTTTGGTAGAAGATGGGAGGAAAACAACAAAGACAGACATGTCATCCTTGCTTCATCAGGAAAACCTCAAAGTGCTAAGCAAATAAACAAAAAATGGGAAGTACTTCAAAAATGAAAAACACATTGTTTATTCCAGAAACCAAAATAATCTATTCTTTTTTCCTTTGTAAGATTTTATTTCCTAACTAGAGGCCCAGTACATAAATTCCATACAAAGGTGGGCTCCAGCCAGCCCCTCCCCTAATCAGGGTACATGGGCCCATCAAAGGTCAGGCCAGCTTGGAGGAGGGGCCATGGGCAGTTAGCCAGCCGGCCCTGCCTCCAATTGATGGGGGGGCAATCAGGGGCAGGAGTGGAGCTGGTCAGGGGGAGGGGCTGTGGACCAATGGGGGTGGAGAGGCCGATTGGGGGTAAGGATGGCCACAGTGGGTGTCATAGTGACCCATCATTTCGGTCATTCAGGCATTCTGGTCGCTGGCTTTTTATATATATAGAATGATCCTATAGTGTGAGCTGGAGAAAATTACAAAATGAATAAAATAATGATTTTTTTAAAACAGTCTTCTTGAGTTCTTTCTGAGATTGACCTGGAGACACACTTTGTTCCATTCTTTGTTTTTATTAATTTCCCCCCTGGGTTTTGTGTAGATGTTAACACACTACCTTTAGCAGAGGGAAGTCCGAGAGAACAGAAGCATTGAGTTCTTCCACCATTAAAATAGCTTCTAAGAGTTGTACATCCGCCCAGCTGAATTTGTTGCCAACAAGGAAATCCTCTCCATGTTCTTTCAAAATCTGCAGAAAGAAAAATAACAAAGAATATCAAATAAAAGTAGAGACTATTTTGCCTGGCTAACACTTACAAAATATGTACAGATCAAATTTGCTAAATAATCTTTGTCTTGATAATCCTCAAGAATGCTGGCAAGGACAGGATGAAACCAATACTCTCACACATCGCTGTAAGTTAGCACCATCTTTTGGGAAATTTGTTAGTGATTATCAAGACAGCGTGAGTGGGAAGTACCAGAATGGAGCTCCCTGTCATGAGACTAGAGCTGGTTAAGTAAAAGTGTCCCTACCTACCAGAAGAGGGCGACGCAAAGGTCATGATTTGCACCACAATTACAAATAAATCATAAACTGGAGACAAGAAGTCCAAATGTGGTGAATATAAAGAAAGTAACATTTGCGGAGACCGGTTTGGCTCAATGGATAGAGTGTCAGCCTGTGGACTGAAGGGTCCCAGGTTCGATTCCAGTCAAGGGCATGTGCCTTGGTTGCTGGCACATCCCCAGTGGGGTGTGTGCAAGAGAACAGCTGATCGATGTTTCTTGCTCTCTATCCCTCTCTCTTCCTCTCTGTAAAAAAATAAATAAAATATTTTTTTTTAAAAAGAAGAAAATAGCATTTATCTTACTTTCCTACAAAAACCATATCCCAGAGTAACCAAATACATTACGAGGGGAAGAGTCATTTATAGAAAGGATTCCAGCTAATAAATGAAGAGCAATTGGCAGAATTGGGATGTCAACATTTGCATCCACTGATAAATCAGTGGGTCTAGGCACTGATCATAAGTTACATTGAGTCATAAGAACAGTGACAACCAGATGATATGTGCTTCCTAATGAACTACACAACACCACCGATGAGGTGGTCTGGCCAAAATACATCAAACTTGAACCTATCAAGCCTCTAATTCTACCTCCCAATTGACAGAAAATCTAGGGAATGAAAGAGTTATGTTGCAGTGGTAAAATCTAGACTGTGAGAAACTCAACAAGACAAATTCAAGAGGAAGGAGGAGAGAAAGCAAGAGGAAAGAACTTGAAATTAAAAGGAGCTATTTTAAAATATTATGTAATTGACTAATTACAATAAATTAAATTGAGTTTGTACTTGATTTGAACAAATGAATTGTTTTAAACATTTTGGGATGTGCTGGGATTAGGCCACACTTATTTCAAAATCCATATCATACAGCCCAGTTCACAATACCATAACTCAAATAATCATACTAGCTTTTCCCCTTTTCAATGGGAAGTATTTCAACATCACTGCACATTGTCCCCAAATAAACAGGAACTTGCTTGTCTAATACTCTAAGGTTCTGGCAAAACTCTTCATTATAATTTGGTCAAAAATAAATCATTCATTTTCAAGGCTAAGACTGAATTATTCTGAATTATACCACAGAAGTATGTTGTCCTGCAAACCTTTATATATGGAACCCTTTAGTAACAAGGCTTTATCATGTGGCATGCTGCCCTGCTGGAACTTTAAGACATACTGAGAAGCCATTTGTAATTAGCATTTGCCCCAAAATGATGTCAGGAAAAAGTTGTAACTTTAAGAGGTTTTGTCTTTTGAGTGAGGCATGATTAGCCAACAGCATTAAACCCTAAAAAAGATATCTGACACAATGAATTGAAATAACGCCTTGGGTTGATTGTTTTTTGTTATTTGTTTGTTTAAATCGGAACAGAAATACTGTGTCCTTTCATTGCACTAGGTTTATTCTAAATCTGTTTTGTTGGGGGTTCCATAATTAGACATGCCATTTGTTTTGGAATCCTTATTAAAGTTTTAGTCCAGATGCAGGAAAGCTCTAACATGGTTTCTGTCTTTTCGGATCTCAGTCTTTTTAAATATTCTTATCAGCAATCTGAAATGTGCAAGACCTGGATCCCTGCAGCCTGGGAAGGGGAGGTAGGAGCTTGCCTTGCCCCTCCCCTCTCCTCGCTTTCCCTCCCAGCTTCCTCCTTCCCTTCTCCATTTCCGCTCCGGGAAGAGAGGAGGATTGGAGGGTGGTCCCCATATATATCAGCTCCTCCCCTTGTCTACCTCCTCTCCCCCTGCCCGGCCCCACAGGATCTGAGTACTCAGCTGGCGCTGGAGCATCAGGGCATCTGCCACACCGCTGGGCCCCACCAGGGTTGGATCCCTGCAGCCTACCTTTTCAAAGACGGGGAAGTAACGGGTTTTAGCTTTTGTCACGATTAAAGCGATGTTCTCCTCTTTTTCCTCTGGGGGTTTGAACGCAGCCATCATGATCATGCCCATGAGGTCCTGAGTGCCATCGGCGTACATGTTGATCCTGGCAAACACAGTGTGATTCTTTCCCACCCTGCAACTTCTACGGTTTAATAGGAGTTGGGGCAAATGACTTGATTCTCCCTCCCTTCGTGTCCACGCTCAGGAATGACTTCTGAACCCAGAACCAGACAAGTGATCTCGGTACAGTAGGGTCTCTGGAAATGTTTAGTGAATAAAGGAACACCCGAAAGAACTAATGAGTGCCTCTAAGGTGAAATCTTCCATAAACAAGCAATTAGATTATTATGGATTTAAAGACTGAAATGAATGTTTACCAAAAATACAAAACAATTTAGTACCAGGACTTTTCACTTGAAAGATATGTATCAGGTCTTCTGTTGGCCTGGCATCTGAGAAAGAAGCTTACTTTCCTAGTCAGGTCAGACAAGCAACTCATATTGTTCTCTTAAAATGTTTCCTTTTTAAAAAGATGTATTTTGGCAAACACTTTTTTAAAAGGTTATTAAAAATCTAATCATAGTAGATGCATTACTATTATTTGTTGCCCTATTAGTATGCTATGCTACTTATCTCTGCAAACTCGTTAAAGGTTGTGTATCTTTGTACCCCCACTGTGTGCTAATTGTCCAACAAATGTAATGGTCTTTTTTGTTTTTGTCTTTATTTTTAACATATATAAAATAATAATGTACTGTCATTGTCCTAGCTGAGTTACAAATGCTTTTTCTTCCAGGTTAGATTGCCATGTAGCCTGTTTGCTTCAGTCTATTATAGTTTATGCCCAACCTGGAGCAAAGGATATTAACAATGCTAACTACAGTTTCAGACACACCTCTTGGGAAAAAGCCGCTGGTATTTAAAATATGCATTGAGACAATGAGAAACAGACTATTTTTGCACGTTAGTATTTGTTTACATTGTTATAAAAGGATTCTATTCATATGCTGTGTTTGAAATTGCTTCCCTCGGTGTATACCCTTGGGATTGCCAGTTAGAAGGACTAAACCCATTTTAAAGATAGAGCTATGGGAAGGATGGGGTAAGCTGCCTCTTTTTATGGGCTGTTCATTGCTATGTTATGATGTCTTCTTTTTCTGAACAATTGAGTTGGGCCTTACTTCTACCAAGTCTTCTATATTTACTGACCATCCCATTATATCCATGCTTATGTGGTAACATATAAGAGACCACTGAAAGTGCCCTTTGACCCCAAATCCAGATAAACTTTTATAGTTATATTTGTTTTATCTTAAATTTACTTACCTCCTGTGAAATTAAACCAATCATCCAAATAGCCACAAATATTCACTCTCCAGTATTTGCGATAAAACCTGCAGTTTCTTCCATCAATGGGGTCTGTTTCCTGGGCTGCCTTCGTAACTTGTTTTGACCAATAGAATGAGGTGGAATTAATAAGTAACTAGTTTTTTAGCCTAATACTTAAGAGGCCTTCTGTACTTTCACTCTCTCAGAACCCTGTCTAGCCTCCATGAGACAAATTAAAGATGAGCGGATGGGGCCCAGGTGGTGTGGCTCAGTGGTTGAGCATTGACCCAGGAACCAAGAGGGCACTAGTTTGATTCCTGGTCAGGACACATGCCAGGGTTTTGGACTCAATCCCCAGTGAAGGGCATGCAGGAGGCAGCCAAACTCTGATGTTTCTCTATCGTTGATGTTTCTATTCCTCTCTCTTCCTTTCTCTCTAAAAATCAGTAAACACATACTTTAAAAAAAAAAAAAAAGATGAGAAGATTGACGATGTATGGTCCATTTGCCTCCCAATCAATATTCAGCCAGCACTCATAACCAGAGCCTCCTTGTTGACTACTGGTTAACATGTGAGTGAGTCCAATCAAGGTAAATCAAGACTGGCCCAGATATGCCCACGACTCAGATGATCCATAGACTGGTGAGTATTAATAAACACTTGCTGATTTACATCATTGGGCTTCAAGATGTATTATACTGCATTATCTGCAGTAATAGCTCAATGCTCAATATTTATTTATTAGTTCATTCATTTCCACCTTCATGTAGAGTAGTTTCCCAGGTCATTTTATGAGAAGATATTTTGTTAGGAGTGGAAAGAGACTATGAGAATGTTGAATGCAGATTGCAATCAGCAGTAAAAGGAGAAGCCTAGAGTCTTTATTCAGAGTTAAGTATAAGTCATGTGGGTGTAACAAGAGTATATCTCCCCCTTGTTCCCTTGCCTTCTCCCCTCAGTCCAGGCTGAAAGGCTACAGCTGAACCAGGTCTTAGTTGGTGCCTACAGAGGCCTAGATAAGAAATAAGTACAGCCGAAACCGGTTTGGCTCAGTGGTAGAGCGTTGGCCTGCGGACTGAAAGGTCTTGGGTTTGATTCTGGTCAAGGCCATGTACCTTGGTTGCGGGCGCATCCCCGGTGGGGGGTGTGCAAGAGGCAGCTGGTTGATGTTTCTCTCTCATCGATGTTCCTACCTCTCTATCTCTCCCTTCCTCTCTGTAAAAAATCAATAAAATATATTTTTTTAAAAAGAAAAGGAACAAGTATAGACATAAATCCTATGGTACCTGACTGTCTCCTTCAGGTCCTTTCCATACAAGTTATACTTGGCAGCCAGGTAGCTGAGGATGGCTCTGGTCTGCGTCAGCATCATCCCATCAATTTCAACCAGAGGCACTTGGCCAAAAAGCAGGCGTCCATCTGTGGTTTGAGCAAAGAAAGATTAAGATACTCTCCCTCCATGGCTGTGGTAAGCCTGCAAAAGTGTCCACTTTTAATTTTGTTGAATGATTTTTAGTTTTTATTCAAAGTGGTGAGTTGAAGACCCCCAGTTGTTGAGGAAATGACTACCATTTGCTTAATGGAAAATCTGAGATATGCTTGTTGGTTTCATGCATTTTTGTGTGTTGATTAGTCGTGATTATTTAAGATTTTAAAAAAAACAACAACCAACAATACATGTTTTTACTGATTTCAGAAAGGGAAGAGAAGATAAATAGAAACATCAATGATGAGAGAGAATCATTCATCAGCTACCTTCTGCACCTCGCACTATGGGGATGAGCCCACAACCCAGACATGTGCCCTGACTGGGAATCGAACTGTAACCTCACGGGTTGACACTCAACTACTAAACCATGCAGCCCGGCTGTTTGGGACTTTCTACATTTACTGTGACTGATTCTCAAAGTTTAGAGTGTACAAGAATCACCTGGAGGAGGTGGTTGTTAAAAATATTCACCTTCTTCCCAGATATTCTGATTCAGGGGTGGAACCTGGGAGTCTGAATTCTTTAAAAAGAACATCAGGTAGCACTCTAGGTTCATACAACATCAAGATGATGTGAAGCTAAGAACCCTGGCGTACACGGGCCTGAATGTTAGCTTCAGCCCTTTTCAGCCATGATTTACTTAGAGCTTCAGCTCCCTTTCCTTTAAAATAGTAATAATACTGATCTAGCAGGATTTCCAAAAAGATGAAACGAGATAACATTAGTAAAATGCTAAATACTGTCAACAGTAGATGTTTAGTAAAGTCAAATTTTCTTCTTCGTGAGTGACTGCCTATATAAATAATGCATTTAAAAAGATACTACAGTCCTAGTCTATTTGGCTCAGTGGACAGAGCGTCCACCCTCAGACTGAAGGGTCCTGGGTTCAATTCTAGTCCAGGGCATGTACCTCAGTTGCACACTCGATCCCAGCCCTGGTTGGAGTGCATGTGGGAGGCAAATAATTGATGTTTCTCTCTCTCTCTCTCTCTCTCTCTCTCTCTCTCTCTCTCTCTCTCTCTCTCTCTTTTTCTCTCTTTCTCTAAAAATCAGTGGAAGAATATCTTCGGGTGAGGATTAATCAAAAATAAATAAATACATAAATAAATACTACAAATAGTGCTCTCTTCATAGGGTCTGGAAGAATTGAATAGACTTTATATTTCATTTATACCTCTGCATTGCTGAGATTAAGGAATTTGACCCAGAATAAAAACCAGATTCACTATGCATTGGCAAAGGCCACAATTAATTTCCCCAATTTCACTACCTTTCCTACTGTCCTTAGTGAGAGGCAGTAGAGGACGGTGGGAAGAACACCAGTGCAGAAACCAGTAAGAGCTTTCAGGGAGCCAGTGTCCCTGTCTAGCTGATGATGTTGGGCAAGTCTCTAAATTCTCTGAGCTTATTCTCTGATCTGTAACACCATCTGTCCTGTTTTACTGAGTTTCTTTGTGTAGAAATAAGATCATACAAGTAACCATGCTTTGTAAATATGAGTACTGTGATTGAAACATCAATTTCCTAAAAGTTCCACATTTGTCCAATATTGGAGGAGTATCCAAAGCTGGGCTCTACTGCTTATGATGCAAATATCTGTTAGAATCAGGAGCTGATGATCGTCTTCTGAAGGATTAAAAAAAAAAATCTAAGATCAAGAGTGCAGAACAGGCTGTTTGAGATCATTTAGTTCAAAGCATTCATATTTTAGACAATGGCAGGGTGGAGGCCAAGGGAGGCACAGGTGCTTTGCCCAAACTGACAGTCAGGGGCCAGCTAAGCCAGCAGCGTGGGCCTCCTGACTCCCAGCCCGATGGCCCAGTGACCTTTCTGCTGTCCCTCTCTGCCTTTTGTTCACAAACAGCAGGAATGGCCAGGAGGGTGTCCCAAACGTAAAGCAGCATCACAGACTCAAAGAGAGCGGGAGGATTTTAGAGGCTCTTCGGGGAGTACTCCTGCCAGAATGATCATGGGTGAGATTATGGAGATACATTCATTTGTTTATTCAATATGTATGTATTTAATCCCTAATATGCACCGTAACTGTCCTTGTTTGTGGGAAAATGAGGCAGAAATTAAGAGGAAGAGGAGATCCAGGGGGATTCCTGGACAAGAATTGGGAAAGGGGTAAGTGGGCCTTCCCCACTCAATAAGATCTGGCACATTGCAATCTATGACCCTAGAGATTATATTGATGTTATGGTAAAAAAAAGATACGTGTGTCAATTATATGTTAATTAAAAAAAAATTTTTTAAAGACAGGATGTAGAGAAGTTAAGGGTGTTGCCCAAAGTCATACAGCTTGTAAATGGAAGGTCTGCTGACTATTAGGTGAACATTTTCCTTAAAAAAAATAATTTGTCAGCCTGGCCCATATGGTTCAATTGGTTGGGCATCATCCTGTGCACCAAAAGGTTGCTGTTCAATTCCTAGTCAGGGCACATGCTAGAGTTGCAAGTTCAATCCCCTTTAGGGAGCATTCAGATCAATGCTTCACTCTCACATCAATGTTTCTCTCTCCCCCTCTCCCTTCCTCTTTCTCTCAAATATATATATTTAAAAAAAAAAAAAAATATATATATATATATATATATATATATATATATATATATATATATATAAAACCACCATAAAATAATAATAGTAATTTGACAATTTCTTGATTATTTATCAGCAACAATGGGACACTCATGTTTCCTTAGATAAGAAAAATAATGTTATAGCTGTTAGAAATTTGAAAGTACTCTTTTTTTTTTTTTTCCTGAGAATTTTTTTCTGGGGAATTGTATGGATTAAAGATGTCTTGTAGGATCCAAATTTAAATAAATTTGGATCTTTTCTATAGTCTTGATTAAATTGTGACCCTAATAAGATAATTTCCATTAAACTGTTAAAACCACCAAGAACAAATGGATATGAATGATGAGAACTAGAGGATATCTTAAGTCAAATTTCCCTTCCTTTTTTCTCCTTCCCCTTCAGCTCATTGGATCATTATTTAAGAATTCTTTATTTAAGAATTCTTAAATAATTCTTCAGTTGAATGGGGAGTTTTGAACCAATTGGCACTGGTCACCCATATTCATACATCTTATCCAATTGGGTCTGGGGTCGTAACCTACTTGATAAGCTTTTATGGAACTAAAGAGACTATGCAGATGACAAATTTAGCTTCGTGCCAGGGACACAGTTAACAGACAATCCATGTTATCAGTCATCTGTATGTCTTTTCTGGTAGTTGGCATTTTAGAGTTCTGTGTTTTATAATGAAACGAGTACTTCCAGAAACACATTTCTGTTTTTTCCAATAAGATGAGATTGAAAAAATATAGGCTTACCCTTCTGCAACTTCTCATATTGCTCTCTTGTTTCGAGAAATTCTTCTTCAAACTGGATAAAGGACAGAGACATTGTTATAACTTTAATATGGTGCTGAGAGACAGAGATATGAAGGGAGAGAGAAAGAGAGAGGAGGGGAGAGGGAGACTAACAGAGAAGGAGAGAGATGGAGAGAAATGCTCATGGTATAAAATGTCCAATGGCTTCAAGAAAGAAAAAACTCAAAAGGCGACCCTGCTAGCGGTTCTCAACCTGTTAGTCGTGACCCACAGGTTGACAACATCTGCTGTAGAGCCTAAGACCATCGGAAAACAGATATTTATATTATGATTCATTAACAGTAGCAAAATTACAGTTATGAAGTAGCAATGAAAATAATTTTATGGTTGGGGTCACCACAACATGAGGAATTGTATTAAAGGGTCATGGCATTAAAAAGGTTGAGAACCACTGGCTTAGAGTCACTTGGAACTGAAACCCCTTTTTGCTCTTGGCCTACTTAAAGCAGGCCCCGCAGCCCCCATTCATATTTTTCCTTTCTTTGCCTTAGCTCTTTTTTCTCTCCAAACTCTTCTCTTTTTCTCCAACTTCCCCAAATGATTTCTTCTCTTCTGTTTTTTCTTTTATTTCCTCTCTCCCTTCTTTGTTATTTCCCTTATAATCAGATTTCTCTTTGATGTTCATATATTCAATGAAAGGGGTCCAAAGATCATTACTCAGGTGAGATTAATATCACTGATCGATGGAGTTTCTAAAGTTTTTGTGAAAAAGAGTGACTTTTGTCCCTCCAACCTCGAAATGGAGGCAGGATAAGGTGAGCAATGGTAGGAGAGAAGTCCCTAAAGGGAATAGAGAAAATCCAAGATCACGAGCCCTTGTTCCAGAGGAGATGGCATTGAAATAGAGAAAAGGAAGTCCATACCTGCATGAAATCAAACAATAACACTTGTGAAAATATATGAAAAGTCAGTGGAGAGGGAACTCAGAGTTAAAAAAAAAGATCCCAGTTGGGCAAGCTCTTCAGAGGGTGATTCAAGGGGAGACCAGACTGCAGTGGGCCTAGGATTCCAGTCCGCAGCCCTGGGTAGCACATGATTGAGATGCTATGGCAGACCTAAGAGACCCCAGGAAACCAGCTGGGCCAGATGGAAGAAATGATCCCTATGTGGTTTCCTTTCTCTCCTTTAATGACCCACCAAGATCCTTCCAACCCCTACAAAGCTCCCTGAACACCTTCCTTGTCTTCTGCCTTCCCACCCCTGTGTAAATTAAGGACCATGATACCCTCCACATCGCTTACAAAGGAAGACAGCTGGAAAGAGAAAGAGTCAGTATGGCTGGAAGGCACCATCCTGAATTTTGAAGAGGGAAGAGGCTCATTTCATTCTCACCCAAATGGCCCTCCTTCCTTTTCCCAGTCAGGAACCAACCTCCACGCCAGCTGCAGCCAGCAGCCAGCGGATCGACTCCATCCTGCCTCGGCCAGGAAAGTACCAGAGCTTGGGTTTGGCTGCCATGACGCCGGGCTCAGGGTTTCCTAAGGGCCAAATAAGATGTTTAAAGAGCAAACTGCCGAAACTGGTTTGGCTCAGCAGTAGAGCATCAGTCTGTGGACTGAAAGGTCCCAGGTTCGATTCCAGTCAGGGGCAATGTACGTTGGTTGCAGGCACATCCCCGGTAGGGGGTGTGCAAGAGGCAGCTGGTTGATGTTTCTCTCTCATTGACGTTTCTAGCTCTCTATCTCTCTCCCTTCCTCCCTGTAAAAAAAAACAATAAAATATATATTTTTTAAAAAAGATGTTTAAAAAGCAAACTAACACACACCTTATGGCGTGTATCTGTTTGTAACAATTCCAAGACAGACGAAGGAAGCTGTTGTTTAGGGATGCAAAATAGTAGGTAAAACTATGCAGAAAAGCCAGAAACTAATGATCCCAGCAGCAAGATGGTGGTTATCTCTAGTGGGAAAATGCAGGTTATGATTTGGAGGAGCCTGAGGCATCCTGGGATGCTAATAATGTTCTATTTCTTAAAACAGAATTGGTAATTAGCCTTTATAATTTATCTTTAAATTGCATATAGCCCTAGCTGGTTTGGCTCAGTGGATAGAGCGTTGGCATGTACAATGAAGGGTGTTGGGTTCGATTACAGTCTAGGACGTGTTCCTGGCTTTCGGACTCAATCCCCAGTGGGGGGCGTGCAGATAGAAACTCATCACTGATGTTTCTATCTCTCTCTCACTCTCCCTTCCTTTCTAAAATAAATATAACTACTTTAAAAAATAAAATATAAAAAAATAAATTACACATAAATGTTTTTGCAATCTCCTATATGCATGCATACTTTATCTCACAATTTAAGGGGGAGGGGAAACACAGATTATACATATCAAGGTTTTCTGTAGATCTGAGAGACTGCCTCTGGTATTTTGAGAAAAGGAAATAGGAGTAAATATGATGGTTTCATTGATGATCTAACAAAATATAATCTTTTCTAACAGCGGCAAGGGGCTGGGCTTGTTTGGATAAAATGTTCGGTGGGACTTGGGGACTCGCATTTCTGCCAAAGACTTTCCTGAGTGCTGGGAAGCATCGACACAGACATACACAGGACCAGCATTCAGGTCCTTACCTGGCCAGCAAGGAGCTGGGAAAGCTTAGGACCAGTTCACTAAACCTTGGTCTGCCTTCAAGTTCTCGTCTATAATTGAGAAAAATTGCACCAGGAGAGGAGAATGATAATGCAAGCAGACCTGGCAGTACTCACTACCTCATTGTCACAGAGCCACAGGGATTATTACGTTAGTGACCCCTGTGTATGTCACAGGATTATTGGAATGATCAAATGGAAAAAAGGTAAAGTGCTTTGAATAAACTAAAGCTCTTCACCAACTTAGAGGGTTGTTGGGTTCCTTTACCCACATTTGCCCCTCAAACTCCATATGCTTTAAGAAAACTTCCAGCAGGCAAGAATACTTTCTGAGGACACAGTGCCCGAGGCTCTGTGGCTGGGAGGGTACTCAGGAAGCATCAGGTGAGCACACAGATGGAGAGGCTGGCCTCAGCTCCCCAGGCAGCACCTGCTGTGTGCCTCACCATTGTCCAACCTTCGTCCACCACTCCAAGCCTCAGTCTCCTAATCCTTAAAATGGGGTAATGGCTGGGAGGATTGAGTAAAAGTGATGAAATACATACGATATCTGACCCATATCAAGTGAAGTCCTCGCTTCTTGAAGCAAATTGCCAGTGGGTTTAGCAATTCTTTGAGTTTTTTTATGCTAAGGTAGGTTTGCCTATCAGCTTTACATGGGATTTATAAGTGTTTGTTGCAAATGTAATTGATGTTTGCAAAAGGGAGCTAAAACTTTTTGTGAATCTGACTCCATATTGTGATACAAGATATTCAACCAGCAAAATCTGGGGTGGCTTTTGCCTTTGTTTTGTGAACAGAGCATTTTCATGGTTCACTGTTACAAGGAAATGTATTTTGTATTTTATGTACAGACTTTGTGCCCACAGCTTCCCCCACTTCACTGGCCCCTTGCACATTCTCCGGGCACCTGGGAGATGGAAGGGTGTAACTTTGAAGACCCAGGGCTGAATTACAAGGAACAGAATCACTCCCCTCCGTGCCTTCACCTCCAAGACTTAAATGGTGCCGAGGAAGCCATAAAAGCCCAGGCTTAGAATGAAGGAGACCCCCATCTCCGAAAAACAGGCCTAAAACCAGCAACCCTCTCTTCTAGTCCAAGAGAAGGAAACTTTTTTCTCTAGTTGTAATAATCAGCCATCGTTTCTTGGAAAAGTCCCAGCAAAATGTTGATGTACCCCATAAATAAATCACAGCTGTGTCTGGTCGAGCAGCCACCATTCCTCATCTCTGAGTCTCAGCTGGCTCCGTGGCCTTCTAAATGGGATGATTTTTTAAGGGGCTCAGCAGGATTTCAGTCCCCATGCCCAACCCCTCCCAGGAAGGGCTGTTCCTTCTAGGACTGAGCACTGAGAAGGAGCCCCAATACCTCTTATGAACTCACACCCCAAGAACCAGCGGAACTCTTCACTGCAAAATTCTAACGAGGGAAACATCTGGAAGGCAGGGGTGATGGTGTAGTTCTTCCATCTCTTGTAGAACCAACCCAGACACGTGGCAGCTGTCACCTCAATGTGCCACTTGGAGATACGTACCAATTCCTGAGCGTGTTCATGTTCTGTGTCCCATCTTTCATTCTCTCAGCATCAACCATTTAGTGAACTCCTACTATGGGTATATGTTGTGCTAGGTTAGGCACTCCAGGCATACAAAGATAACATGTAGTTCCTGCCAGCAAAAACCTTACCTATGATATATCTAGAGATGGAAACATCCCGACTAACAAGAGGTCAGAATGAAATGGGTATTTAACAAAAGCACAAGCAGATCTGTTTTACACACAACTGTAAAGCTACTTTTGCCCCACCCTGTCTATATGTTTGTTCCTCAGCCCTACTGCTCCCTGCCCCATGACATTATAGGTTAAGGACAAAACCAAGTCCTTTAATCCTCCATCCTTGATCTCTAATGAATGTCAACAAAGATTAGGGTAAATTACAGCTTGGTAATAGGGAAGGCCGGCTTTGTTTACCCTTCAAATAGAAAACCCAATTATTCTCATTGTTAAAAAAGAAAAAAAGCACACCACCAAAGCTTAAAAGAACAGGTGCAGTGGAAGCTTTCACTCCGGCCGGCTGGCCGTGGGAAATGAAGAGGAGGGAACAAAGGAGCAGCGCCTTCTGGATTTTACCCAAGGTGCAAGCACTCTGAGCAACAGCTGCCGGAAGACCCGGAACCCCGGACCTTGAGCTGAGTATAAATCCATTCCCATCTCTTCAAAGCTCATGACTGTGCTACTGATGTTGACCAAAAGGTGTGTCCTGAACTCAGCCAACCTGGAAGGGTCCCCACAGAGGTCAAATGACATTGGGAACTGAGTCTCACCTGTTAGGGCTTGCAGACTTCACCTGTGAGCAGCTTCACCTGAGAAGAGAGTGGGGTGCATTTCCCCACCCCGAGTCCCAGGGACCCGCGCCTCAGAAGGGTCAGCAGGAAGCAGCCATGATGGCATGACAGCCTTTGGAGAGTCAGAGTGTGGTCCTTGGCTAATAAATATGCCCTAATTTTTTTAGAAAATAGAACATGTATCTATTTTACTGTGAGTCCTAGGCACCCACAGTGAAAGCATATTTCAGCTCTACCTCTCACTTGAGCAAGGTTTTCAACCTCTCTCTGTGCCTCAGTTTCCTCATTTGTGCAGCAAAACTAAAAGCTCCTAATTCATTTGATTAGATATGAGGTGAACATAAGATAATGGGTACAGACTGCTGAATAAATGGTGCACGCACACACCTGAGTCTCCGCTGCAGTGGCAGTCATGTGTGCTTCTTAAAGGAGGGACGGCATTCCCTGCCAGAGTGTTGGACCAGCAGCAGCAGCTTCGCCCGGAAGCATGTTAGATATGCAGAAGCACAGTCCCTGGGCCCAGTCTGTGAATCAGAGTCTGCATTTTTCAAAACATGCCCAGACGATTCACTTGTATATTTAAATAAAGTTTGAGAAGCCGAGTCTAGAATGCAAACCCAACTAACCTGCACCTGGGGCTCAGTATGAGGCTCTGGGTCACTCTTCCCAGAGACTGCTGGGCAGGCACAAATTGCAGAGCATGGCGTGTATAAGGTAGGCGCAGCAAATGGCGACGTGCTGGCGTTGTGGGTGGCTCAGAATAGAGAGAAAGAAGGGCAGAGGGAACTGGAGAGAATTGTAAGTAAATTTCCCATGTGAGATCATTTGTATTGATCCCCCTCTATGAGAGGAGTTCCACTTGGCTGGTGTGGTTCAGCGATTGAGCATGGGACCATGAACCAGGAGGTCTCAGTCCAATTCCTAGATAGGGCACATGCCTGGATTGTGGGCTCAAACCCCAGTAGGGGTCATGCAGGAAGCAGATGATTAATGATTCTCTCTCATTATTATGTTTATACCTCTCTCTCTCCCCTTCCCTTCGTCTCTGCAATCAGTATTTTACTAGAAGCCCGGTGCAAGGGATTCGTGCACTGGTGGGAGGCGTGGCCAGCAGGGATTGGCCCGCTGTGGGAGCACCACTCATCCCAGGAAGCAGCACTCCCACTGTGGAGTGCACTGACCACCAGGGGAAGCTCCTGTGTTGAGCGTCTGTCCCCTGGTGGTCAGTGCACATCATACGGACTGGTTGACTGGTCATTCTGTTGTTTGGTCGCTGAGCTTTTATTATAAAGAAGGATATTTTAAAAAGAGAAATTCCTAGGATATGAGCGAGTCCTTCTTCAATTCCCAATGTTAACCAAGTATCAGATATGTAGGTTCCAGCCCTGGGCACGTCTTGAAGAAATGTCAGTCCTCAGCTATAAAATGAATTGTTGGTCGAATTAGACAATTTCCTTCATTTCTTCCAGTTTTAACAATCCTTCTGATATTGTTTCTCTTCCCTCATCTTCATTCTTTGGTC